GTTTCAATTGTTTCATCGAAGGATCGTCCTCCTTTGCATTTGTTTCTATGGTGTTTCAGTTAAACCTACTTTACCAGCTTAGGCAAAAGCGGGGGGGGGGGGGGGGAGGGGAAAAGACAGGAGGGGGGGGGGGGGGGGGAAGCGGAAAAGAGGCATCCTGGTTTTGATCTGTTGCTCTGCCTTTGATAAGGAAGTTGTTGTGGTTTGGGGCTGAAGTTTGAACTAGCATTTTTGGCTCACATTTGCGAGGAACAAGCAGTTTGATGTGTGATTCTTTCTCTCCCAAAAAAGTCTTCAGCCTCTGTCTTCCTTCAGAAAATGATACTTACACCCCAAGGGAGTCTTGCTGTGTAATTTGTAGGTAATAGAGGGGAACAGACTTCGGAGGAAGAAGGGTTTCCAACATCTGAATGGAATTGTCTTAAATGAGAGAAATTGGGGTGTTAGAAACGACAGGCATGCTGCTAGCTTTTCCTGGCTCATAAGTGACTTCTGAGGAGAAACAGAGGAAAGCTTGCTTTCTGGGAGCTGCCGCAGGGCTGTCTGCCTTTCATCACTACCTGTGTGATTGTGTCCTTGGACCTGGCCTCCCAGAAGGGAGAGGGAGATGAGGGACCGCTTGCACACCTGGGCCTGTGATAGTTTGCAGGCTGACACATGAAATATGGGTTATCCACAGACCAGTATGCTCCCTCCCTCGGGGGCTTGTGGCTTTTGGGGAAGGCAGTGCGACTGCAGTACCTGCCATCCACTGCAGGTCCTGGGATACTGCTCCCAGGAGGATGCTGTGCCGCTCTCTAGTCATCCACCTCCTCCCCAGGGGAATTGCTGTGTCCTAGGCATCCTTGCTGAGCAGGTTCTGAGCCTTCAGCTGTGGTTTGAAAGGCAGGGCACATCTCTGGCACGTTTGCTTAGAGGTGCTGGGTCTGGGGTTAAAAGTTAACAACGCGCTTTCCTTATTGGGTTCTAATTTAATTTGGGAAGGCAGGAGGGAGACAGAGGGCACTTAGTCTGGTAAGTGCTGTTCCCTTGAGGGGGGGTTAGTAGCTTGCCCAACGTGCATGGCATCGACTTCGTAAACTGACCTTTGCCTCCATCAGGTTAATTTTCATTTATAATATTAAAAAAAAATAAATCCCAACGCACAGCCTCTTATTTATTCTTTAGGCAGCGAGGACGTAAATCCTTCAGCGTGTTTGGATTTATAGAATTACTGGGCTTTTGCTGAGCCTCACGTCCCACTCCAATCAAATGACACGGCTTTCAGTAACCGTGCGGGTGATTGCGTTTTTCCTCCCCCTCGCCTCCCTCCTAGCTGCTCCTGATCTGCGCCTCCTCCTGCTCCCTGCAACCTTTTTTGGGGAAAGGTGGGCCCTTGGCACCCATGGGAAGTGACAGGAGGGGGACTAGGCAAGTCGTAGGGTTATCAGCATTTCAGTGTGAAGTGTAGCAACCTCTAGGTATCTTCTTTCCTGACCCAGAATAAAAAAATGTTAAAATGCTTTCATAGGAAGCATTTCATCAGCTGTGCTACAGGCCTCCTCCGAAACAGAAGCGTTTCTGTGGTGGCTGGAGAGAGGGGGGAGATATTTATATCTTTCTTGGCTCTGCTTGGCTTCTCCCCAAGGTAAATAGAAATGAAAGTCAAAAGCAGAGGCTTGGCTTTCTGAAATCTCTCCCCGAGCCCCCCGAGGACCTGAGCACAGGATGTTTTCGTGACGGGAAGCCAGCTCCCAGTGTTTCAGGGTCTCGGAGGATGATGTTTGAGGGGCCTTCCCTCCCCATTGCCTGAAGCAGATCTCGGCCGTACGGTGGCTCGGCTGTGACCCCCACACTGGGCATCCAGTGGCTTCTATCCTGGGAAGCCTCAAGGAGCAATGAAGCATCAATGAGAAGCCGGTTTGAAACGAGAGCAGAAAAAAATGTCTGTGGTTGTCCTCTAAATCTTGTAGCATGTTTACTCTCAGAAAGTACAGCTACATTACCAAAAATCAATAGTTCTAGCAGCATTCTCCCTGGGAAACACACACACGCTCGGACACACAAGAGGTGGTAGGTCTTAAAAAAGCCAAGGGAATACAAAGTGCTTTGGTATAAGGGTTTTGCTTCACTTTTAGCAGTGTACAAATGGAGGGCCCTTGACCTGGGCAGTGTCTTCTGGGACTCCCTGATTATCTTTCTGGTCCCGAGTGCCTGAGGCTGTGCGAAGCCAGAGGGGCTGGCGGGAGGGCTTGTCTCATTAACTAATTTTTTCTTTGAAGTATATATGTTTTGTAAGAAAAACAGGTTGTGGTGTGCAGAAATAATAAAACAAGTATTTGAAAGACTCTTCCTTTGGCTGTTTTGTGTAAAGGTTTGACTTCCAGGGCTCCTAGTGGGACCAGCATATCCCAGTGTTTCATTTGTTTTCTTTATGTTTGCAAAGACTTCATTCTACAGACATAAATGCAGCTCATCCCCCTTCTCTTTTAAAAAAATTCTTTTCAAGTCCTAGTATCTCCTTGCTTACCAGAACACCTACCTCTCCTTCCTTTGGGAATGGAGAGAAATTATTTCCATTTTTCTTAGGTGGAGAGTGCTGTGTGAGGGAACAACCATTTTGACAGAGACGGGTGTTAAGGATTGGGATGAGTGGGCACACTGGTGGCAAGTACTGCAGCAAGCCCTGGAGAGCTGGAAATCATCCTTCCTTCTCAGATCAGCCAAACCAAAAAGAGGAAGAAGAACAACCCCTTTTTACTACCATCTCTTATTAATGAGACATTTTATCCTAAGTCCTCTAACATGAACTACGCAGGCTTTTGGGAATGTAATTAATCTTTAATTGTATAAATCTTTAATTGTATAAAATGGAGTTTGTATGGCTGTAGTAACTTCTCTTCTCTCTTTTCCTCTGGTCCCTTAGCACAACTTTTTTTGAACAGGGTGCCCTGCTTTAGGGCAGTGGCCGCATGGGCTGCACACGCAGCGTCCCTTGAAGCCAGGCTGCTGCGGTGGGGCCTCTTGCTGGGATGGGGACCTGCATGACCCCCATGGCGGGGCGCCTGGCTCCTGCCGAGTATGTGCTTGGAAGAACTGGCAGCAAGTTGCAGCTTAATATGAGTCTGAGTGATTAACAGCGAATTACTTTGGGCCCTGTGCAAAGTCAGTCCTTGTGCCGGGGTCTTAAGGGACAAGCCCGAAGGCAGGATGAGGTGCAGGAGAGCCGGAGGAGCAGCACAGGCTCCCTGACGCCTCTCCTAGGTGGGCACGCTGTGACTAAACAGTCTGGTGCAGAGAAACCCAGTTCCTTGCAGCATTTGTGTTAACCCAGATGATTTTTGCAGAAGCAGCTTGAGGGTCAACTGCCCATGCTGCCATGCGGGCAGGGAGGAGGAGGTGGTCCCTGGCAGGGGGGCTGCTGGCAGCAAGAATGCTGCAGCACATCTGACTGCAGCTGCAGCCATTTCAAACCGAAGCAGGGGCTTAGCAATTGCTGAGAGCTGGCTCGGCACACATAAATACCCCTTCTCTTCAGAGGTGCTGTTCTTACTGTCGTGTGTCGATAGGGAATTGCTGGCCTCAGCCAAATCCTGAGTGGAGAGTTGTCTGGGTGAGCTGGCAGTCAGGAGCAGGGGCTGGATTCATCGCGGTGCGCAGCATCTGATCTGTGGCCCTGGTACCTTGGTGGTGCTCCCTGGCCAAAGCCTTGCTTGCTCTGCCCTGAAGATGAGCAGGGAATTGCTTTCCCTAAAGCACCTTTCCTTTGTGGAGGAGTGACAGCGAAACCAAGAATTGTCCTGAAAGAAACCTAGCTGGTCGCCTTGCAAAAAGGGGTAATTGCAAAGTAAAATAGCCTTGGGAGAACCAACAAAAGAGCAGTCCTGCCCGAATCAGTACCAGGGAGAGCCAAATGCCTTTTTGGAGAAGGTGAAGTGCAGCCTTTCAGATGCTAACGAGGTATTTGGGGTTTCGATCATTCGCTGTATGGAGGAATTGATGCACCTTTGGCTCTAGGAGGATAGGCTGTAATTAATCCATCGTGCTTTCGCTGGCTGTTTCTCGGTAGTGCCTTCTGTAATGGCAAGAAGGGGTGTGCAACCATCTTGAGCTGGGGACTGTCTTGAGCTGATGCTTGCAGAGACAGAAAATTCAATAGGATGGAATGGGTACTTTGGAGATCTCTGCGGTGGGGAGATGTCACTGCTCAGGCCCTCGGTGACTCGCAGCACTCCCCATTAAGCAGAATTTTGAAATTAGCATCTCCACTGAAAAGCTTTTCCTAAGGCACGACCGATGTTTCCAGCTAGAGCAATTTCCTGCGCCGTAATGGAACGGGAGGAGCACTTTACGGTTGTACACGTATGCCTTTCCAGCAATATTGCTGAAGTCCCTTGTAAGAAATTCTGATGTAATTTTTTTTGGTCTGCTTCATCGATTGGATTAATCAGCAGAGACACGCCCTCCGGGTCCCAGCGTTGGCTTGCTTTCATTAATTTGCACTCAAGTTTTTGCTGAACAAAGAAGGATTTGTTGAACAAAGCGGGGTCAGTGCTGGGATGAAGAGCCTTGCGCCTCTAGCCTGCTAGTTTAAATTAGGACTGAGCTGTAACTGTAAGTTGTGCGTCCTGTGGCCTGGATTGATAAAAATGTCTTGGCCTCTATCCGTGCCCCTGCAGAGCATGCGACCTCAAGGGCCACCCCAAGGTGATGGCCTTTGGGGTGGTGAATAGCCTCCCCAAGCTCCCTAAACCAGACACAGTCAGAAAGCAAGGTAGGGAAGGTTTGAGCAACTGTTGCTGAAGATTTTTGAGGTGATCATTCCACATCCTGTTTGCTTTAAAGGCTAAATGCAGTCTGTAGAGGTGGAAAAGATCTTTTTAAGAATAGTTTCAGTAAAGGCAAAACGAGTCTGTGAGTGGAGGCTTTTTGCAGGGCCAGCTCTTGTGAGAGCTACATGGACCAGCCGCAGTCTGCATTTCTCTAGGTGCCCCTCAAATGGCTTTTCTCCTTTCTTTCAGCTCTTCGAGAACTTCTACTTTGGGGAGGTGCAGCTGGACTCGGTGCGTCTTTCTCAGAGGTTCTCCTCAGATGCCTCTGGCTACTACGCGACGTCTGGGCAGCTGACCTTCTCCTGAAGCTGCCACAGCAGGTCTGCTCATCGGTGAAATGTGGTTTTATAGGAGACGAATTTTGAACAGGAACCCGGAAACTCCAGGCAGGGATGCCTTATGACTCCTCAAAAGCACGTTGCAGCTGGGACGATGGCACTTCCCACAGCTTTTCCTACACGAATTGCCTGCCCTCCCTTCGGGGGGAACTGGAGTCCTTTCACCTCCTGCCCCTATTGGTAACCAAAATGTCGCAAAGTTGCCCTTTTGATGTCTGTTGCCTGTTTGTTTTCCAAGAAAATAACTAGAAAAACTGGTGCCGATGGCTTTTGGGGAATCACCAACGTTTAAGCATGGCTTTATTTTAGAAGAAGGAAGTTTGTTCTTAAAAAAAGTATTTAAAATCCAAGGGAGCTCCCCGGAGCATGATTTAACGATATGGAGGTCAGGCATTTCTTGGATCTCCAGCAGCGTGCCTGTGTGATGTTGATCTCCAAATAAATTAATTCCCTTCAAAAGCAAAGTGTTTATCTGCTGTTGCATTGATAGTTTCTGTAATTAAACTTCCAGCATGCAACTATGTTAATAAGAAAGCATTTATGGTAAGAGCTCTTTCCGGTGACCGTTTCGGAGGATGTCAAGAAAAATATGCCTTGTAGGTGGTTTCTCCATTAAAGGAAGAGCAAAACTCTTTGATACCATTGTGAATCCTTCAGCGATCTGAAGACAACTGTTTTTTCTTGTAAATCTCCCTCTTCGGTAAGAATAGCAACACAGGCTTTCAACTCACCCGAGGATGAACGCTTTGAAAAATGGAAGGTGCTGGTGTTCGGTTGTGTTGCAACAAACCGGCAGTGGCAGCAGCTGCTGCTGCCCATTCCTAGTTGCTGCCAGGACTGTGGAATCGTGCCGTCATCGAGGCAGAGAGTGTGTTTCCTAGGGACAGGGCTGCTCCAGCAGCACCCGCTTGTACGAGTGATTGTTTTTAGAGAGGTTTGCATCCCATTTCCTCCCTCCCGAAGTGAGGTGGCTGTGTGGCCATGCTCTGACTGCATGCACAAACAACAGTGGGAGGCAGTCATGATTCGGGGTGGCTTTTCCTGTTTTTTTTCTTGTATTTCCAAGACCAAATTGCTCATCTCTGCTTGCAAGCCCACCTGCCAGGAAATAAAATAATCTGTGATTTTGCTGGTTGGCCTTTACCCTGGAGTCTGTGCTTGTACCAATTACAACCATTTTGGGCTTCTTGTCTCTGCTTTTCCTTGCAGCCGAGTACCTTTGTGCTCTCCAAGCGGAGGAGAAAGGGCCGCCTTCGAAACCGTTCGCTCGACAAGCAGAGCACCGGCACGCTCACTAGCAGCCCGATTGCGGGGAGGTGCTGAGAGCACTTAACACTGGTTGCTGTCATCTTTCCACCAGCCTGAAGAGGTACTTGGTGAAGCTCATCATCCGCCCCAAAGAACAGACCTGGGAGCTGCTCACACAGCTGCCAGCCGTGCTGCTTTGCCCCAGGAAGGGGGATCCACCTCGGCAAGCTTCTGCCTGATGGGTTTTTAACAACTTTGACCAAGAAGCTGAGTGCTACAGGACATGGGGTGCTGTTTGTACTTTAGTTTTTGTTAATTGGGCATTGGTGGCATTTCTGTCACACCTGCTTTCCTCGGTTGTCACCGAATACTGGCGATTCTGATTTCTTCTTCACTGAGGTGCACTTTCAGTCCTCCCACCTCCCTAATGCAGGAGTAACTTTGCCCTGGCAAACAGCATCGCAGCGTGGCAGCAAACACGGCTTTTCTAACGAAGAGGGACTGATCTGAGGAGACTCCTCCACTTCCCACTGATGTAGACATGTTTTAATGACAATTATTTCTGTGACCGTTTGGAAGTTGGTTGAATTTCAGTGGTAAGCGGCTTATCCCGCTGCTCTAGCCTGGCACGGCTAAATACGTTTCACACCTCTGTCCCCGGGCGGAATTAAGGGTTCTGGTCTATTCCTCTCATCCGCGGAGTTGTAGGTTAGGCTGTGATCCAGCAAACCGTTGTGCATGTACTTAAATTTACGCCTCGCTTGATCCCCTTGTATAACATTAAGCACACATGTGAGTCTTGGTGGAGTGGCAGCTCCGCTTTGCTGGTAGTGCTTTTGAAACCAAAGTGCTTCTTACACAAATGAGAGGGGCAGAGTTGGGAGTTGTAGCCCCTTAAACTTACACAAGGGAGCTACTTGCGTAAATAAAAGACACCTACTGCTTTTCAGGGGGTCGAAGCCAGAAGAAAATGTACCGCAATGGATTTACCAAGGATTTTCCCTTTTCTAGCATTATTCATAAATAGAATTAGAACTGTTTCATATTGAGGGCGAATAAATTGCGGTCCTGTATCGGTGAATTGAAATCCCGTTAAACCAGGCAGTGTCACAGGTTTGCAAGATACAACCTAATAACTTTTTAGAACTTGCATAAAACTTGTTAGAACTGAGGTCTGCGGCTCTGCTTCTTTCCCCCGTCTAGGCTGTGTTGGAGGCTGGCTGCCCCACTTGCAGGTCCCCGCATCTTTATTGCACAGAGGAAGAAGAAAATTGTTTTATGCCATCATTTTCCTCATCAGCAAGCCTCGCTTGGGAGCCCAGGTCAGGAGCGCGATTCGTCGTTAACCGTAAAGTTGAAAATAACACCGTTTTCTTAAATGTAGTGCCTGGAAGCTGTGTTTCCAATTGTATCAGGGTCAGGACCCGCTGTGAGGAAACGCAGCGTTGTGTTTTCTCTTCATCCTGAGCATCCGTGCAGGGA